ATATATAATTATATATACAGTAGCTAATTTATATATAATTAATATATAATTATATGTACAGTACCTAATTTATATATAATTTATATATAATACTAAACAGACGATAGCAAACTCAATTTAGCCGCTCCGTAGCGTGGCGCAGGGTCGGAGGTAAGTAGTTCGGCTGCTCATCCACTATTGGTCCAGACTCTATCAATCTTCTCGCGAAACGACGTTATAGGAGGTACGTTATACGAAAGTTTCTACAATTTTTTCGCTACGTTATAAAAATTGTCGTTATAGGAACGTACGTTATAGGGGGGTCGACTGTAATTGTACTTATGCAAATATACTATAACAGTTACCTAAGTGCACACTTATATAAATAATTTTTAAGTGCTTAAAAGTAACAGTGAACAAAAGCAAATTATATTAATAAACATTGACCCAAAAACCAGTAAATATCAAATAACTTTCACCAAGGGATGAAAATCTAGCAAACATTTGTACTGTATAACTTTCCTGGAAACATTTAAAACTGCGTGTGTAGCAACAGCTGCTACAATTTTTTTATCAAAAAGTTCTATATTTTTAAATATTATAATTTTTGTATAACACTTTCGTATAATTTTCCTATCACTTAAGTTGTATAACTCTCATTACAAATTAAACTAAAAGTAGTTTTCATTTTTCACAAGAAATTTTTGTTCTCCACCTGGGTTTGTTGTTTAACATTAAATTTAGAAAAAATAGAGTATATAAGTGAAAGAACAACCGGAATGAAAATCAGTGCATGAAATGCAGTTTCTATAGCAATAAGAAACACGATTTTCACAAATGTAATGAAAGCGTACATATCTCTATATACAAACAAAATCCCTAAAATAGTAGACAAAGATCCTTGACATATCGGATAACCAATACGATAAAGACTGTCTTTCATCTTTTCGCTCGGAGTTTCAGACACAGAACAAACATAAGCGTAAGCTATATGCGCCGGATAATTCACGCAGAAACCCACACACAATATCAGACTCATCATAGATAAGATGTCCACGTTGACACCCCACAGGGACATATAACCTAGAGTTTCTACAATGGTAGATGCTACCGATATCGCAACAAGAAGAGCAGAAACAATGTTTGGTATAAACAACAAAAAGAATACCATTATTAAAACAGACGTAATCCAAAATAAATCTCTAATTGTACGATTAATGATGATTCCTTGTTCGTATAGAGGAGCCAATGCTCCGTGAATCAGAACAGGAAAGTCGAATTCGTCAGCAATTTTCCACAAATTACTTAAAATCTCTACTTCGGCTGCCGAACTTAACGTATCATTGACAAAAATAAAGAATCTGCTACTCGAAATATCGGTTTCATTCTGATTGAAGGCAATATGACTGGAGAATTGTTGTGCTGCTTTAAATTCAAGAAAAACATCGCGAAGTCCACTCAAGAAATCTTCTTTGACAGACATGTTGTAACCACGTAACGAATATTTTGCAATCGGATGATTTTGAAATTCTTTGTAATATTTTAACCATGATAATGTAAATCGGGAATCTGCAATATATGGGAGACGTTCAAATTTGTTCAGTAGTTTGTCTACGGATTCTTGCACATTTACATCCGAATAATCTAATGTAGTGTTAATAACTATTTGGTAAGGGAAAGAATAACGGCTAAAACTATTATAATATATTTTCATACTCTTTGTTACCGGCGATTCTTCAGGATATAACGTTGTGATGTCTATACCATAATTTATTGTTAAAGCCCCCCATATTCCAAATGATAAATTCAGAAAGTAAATTATAATAACTATTATCTTCATTACATCCGAAGATAGAATCTTGCCTAGCTTATCTCTAAAATATGCCATTGTTGGCTCATCAGAGAAATTTTTATCTTCGGAAACTACTTCGTTATTTTCTGAAAATAAACATTAATTTTATGAATTACATAAGTTACACATTTTATTAAAAAAATTTACTTCATATTATTTTAATTCAATTTTTAAAGTACTATAGCATGTAATGCAATAAAAATAAAATGATAAATTAGAAATAAATAAATAAATTAATTAATTAATTAATGATATGAGCAAAGGAATTATAGAAATGATAACTCCTCAGGCATTTGGTGGATTAAGCAGTAAGAAAACGTTTACAAAGAGACCCATGTGCAATTTCTCTTATTCAATTTCAGAAATAATTTAACCCCTTTGTTCCTACTTTTTTAGAATTTTTAATTAAACATAGAAAATACCAAAAACTGAAAAAAAAACGAAAGAAATGCGTTAATTTTGAAGAGAAAGCTTCAAGATTATTTTCCATTCTCTCGCCTAGCCTTTGCACGAAATATGACATAGATGGGTAATTGTGTTTACAGCTGGATGACCTTGAGAACAGCTGCTTTCGTCTTTCGCGGGACATTCTCATAAAACTTACAGGAGGCGAAGGGTTTATAGTAGGGTGAATACTAGCTGGCCGTATATTTTTAAATATTTTTAAAAAATTACGTTTTTTTATTGCGATTTCCTACCTTCCCCGACTTAATTAAACGTATGTATAATAAAATCTATTAATTAAAAAAATTAAAAAACTATCGGAGGTCGTTTTTGACAACAGAAACTAGCTTTAAATAACTTTATCGAAGTAAAATCCGTGCACTAGAACTTTAGAACGATGAATGAAATTTGATTTAAAAATCCCATTAAAAAGCAATTAAGCGTTAATCGTGCGTCATTAAAGGTAGATTAAAATCGCTCAAAAATTCAAAAAATTCAAAAAAAAATTTTTGGAAAATTTGGAGACTTAAAAAACATCCAAAAATAAAAATAAAAAAAATTCAGAGGGACCAAAAGACGGTTTTTTATGTAACGCTATATAGACACGAAGGGGTATTATTATTGTATTTATTATATATTTCTCTACATCATAGTATTTCCCATTTGATTTATACTGAAAAAACTTGGCCTTGCCGCTCCCACGACTCGATTGTCAGGTTAACGGCACGTTCATATGTTTTGGGTGTTTCACAGGATAGATAGATACCCTACTGATCTGAAGCCGGTGTAAGAGTGCTCAAAAAACTTTTTACAAGTTTCCATAATAAGATAACGCGAGAAATATAGTTACGACTCATTTGTAACTACTGATACGTAACTACTCTATCTCATTCGTAACACTGAGTGAAAAAATTCGTAGGTTTGAAAATTTGGTTTAAAATTATTGTATGTTTGTCGCAGAATACTATTTAGCGACCAAAACTAAGACAATCAATACTTTTTCTGAATATAGATCAAATAAAACAGTTGTAGCATATATCTGTATAATAAGCGAGCTGAATAATAAGTTAATTCAGCTTGCTTATGTTTCTCACACAAACTACAGATTCGTGACCTAATATAGTTTTTTCCTATACGTTAACTTAATTACAGAGCTCTGTATAACAAATCCAATCAGTTTTTCTTTTTTATCCGTCTTCTATATGTTCAGAAAAAATGAAAATTCGCTTTCATATATTTGAACAATTTTGCTCCAATAGTTTAAAGCAGCGATTCCCAACCTGTGGTACGCGTACCCCTAGGGGTACGTGATAGGTTGTTTAGGGGTACAGAAAAAAGTTAGTTGTTATGGCAGAAAAATAATATATTATGTATCACAAACTAATAGTATTAAAAAATTATTAGGTAAAATATGTTCCTTGCAACAATCACAACTTTATTATACATTTTTTCATTTACTTTTTTTTCTTTAATTTAAAGTTACAATATGTAAAATTAACAATACGGGTACTCACTAAATTTCTTAAATGAGGGGTACAATCTAGAGATATGACATGTTATGGGGTACGCTAATGAAGAAAGGTTGGGAACCACTGGTTTAAAGTAATAATTGAGAACTATTTCCACTTTTAATACACCAAAGTACCAACATATCCTATATGTTTGATCATCGTTTGTAAACTATAAATCTGAGAAAAATAGTCATAAGCACACAAAAGTATAACTGTCATTCACCCGAGTTTCTCTACTGTTATAAAAAAATTAGCATAATTATAAAAAGATTAAATGCAGTAATTGTGTTAAATAATTGTAATTTTTTAAAACTATCAGTAATCGTAATGTATTTTATATAATTGTATGTTATTAATTATTTCACAAAGTACTGACATAGAATGCAAATTATACAGAAACGCCCAAACGAACACATGCGCTCAATTTTGTAAGAACATTACTACAATTTCAAACTCAGTTAGTGTTTAGAATTCGAATAATTTCATAAAACGAAAATAGATCGTTTATTTTGAAATAGCTAAAAAATTAATTTATTTATACTTTCTATTTAAGCAATTTCACTAACGTAATAAACAGACAGTTACACTAAAGTTTGGCGAAAAAGTTAAATTATCTGTTATAATTAGTATACAGTGTGCAAAAATTATTGTAAAAAAATAAATCTGACATCTTCCAAAGTATTATCTTGGTTTTTCTACAACAGACTTTTTTTATGTTTTGTGTGTGTGTGTCTAATTGCTTTAACAATCACTTAACTTTTTGCCACCATAGAAAATTGTTTTAGCTTGACTAATTGCTGTAGTATCGTTCGATATGAGATTTCGCAGATATTTGCAAGTTACAATTTAAATAACTCAAACCAACGATAAATAATACTTCTATAATATTTTTAATAATTATAAATCAACCGTGTATGGTTTTGTATTCAGAAAATACTCCGCAATACAATGTTTCACTAAATATGAATTGTTTAAGAAATTCGGCCTAAATATTAGCCATATGTGTAATATTTAGATCGAATTTCTTACTGACAGTATTCAAGACAATAAAGTAAATGAACTTACCGATATTATGATCTTCTTTCACCTCTTTGTATCCCGATAACGCCATGCATCCACCGAAGAATGTCACCTGATATAAAAACGTAAACACTATGCACGTTGCACAATAATAACAGAACATTCTTACAAGAGGAATCGATGCCATCATTCCTATACAATAGGAAAACAAATTAGTCAACGACGTTAACGTTATAGAAACTCCGGCTTCGGCGAACGTTTCTTCCATGCGTTTCGCTACTTTATGCTTAGGGTTCGATGTTCTCCAACACGCCAACAATACGAAAGCATCGTCTATTTCGGTTACTGCAACAAACGAATTTTCCAAAACACAGAATTATAAAACACGAGAATATAAGAAAAAATTATGATTAACAACTTACCCAAAACCACAAAAGGAATGGCGATGTTCCAAATAGAATTTTCTATACCTAGAACGGACATGAAACCGAAAGAAGTGACCACGGCCAGTCCAGCCGATACCACACTTGCCACACCAAGAACTGGCTTGCTTTTAGACCAATTATTGCTCATGTACGTTACCATAGTAAACACAGAAATAAATCCAACCAGTGCACCGATCATGGGTGTTATATTTTCAACCAATTGCAAGTTTCGCTCTTCAAACAACCAGTAATAACCGATAAAATACAGAAGGTGTTTAAAACGATGATTTCTTATACGATTGTAAACTGCCGCTCGCCATTTTTCTATGAGATTAAGTTTATTTTCGTCGCTTTCGTCGGTAAAATACACTAATCTCATAGCACTTACTGTTTGAACCAAATCGTTGTCATCTTCGATGACACCTCCGAAGTTGAGAGAATAAATTTTATGAGAGTACGTGAATGGATCAATATCGAACGGATATCTTAATTTCTTCTTCTGCACTATATTATCAATTTCCGGTAAGATTTCTATGATGGGATTTTCAAAGCATTTTTGGTTCACACGTCCACAGAGATCCGAATATCCAATTTCTCTTTCAGCGTCATTGATTGTTATATTCTTAATTAATTTATCCACCCGACTAATTTCTAGCAGCACATCTTTTTGTAGCATGTTTCCACCATCTTTCTTCGTAAACACCACAAATACGCATTTTGGAATAGTCGTAAAGGTTGTCGGATCAAACAATATGGATGAATTAAAAGGAAATGTTTTGTCAATAAACTTCTTAGTATCAAAAGCTCTTCCCGAATCTGCGAATGACAATTCAGTCATGTTTTCGATAGTGTTTATGTTAGTGATGAAAGCTGAAAATGTTGCTGTTATTAAAACAGGTAAAAGGATAAAGTAGTGCGGATGAAGACCTATGAATCTTCCTAATTTTCGAAAAAGGAACGATACTGTTTTTCTTACGCAATCAATTTTCATTGTTTGATTATGATTTTTGGAAGACAAAAAATTATTGGATCTATTTTAAAAAATTAATTAAATTTTATTCCATTAAATTCAAATAACTTAAATTATCAGTAAAAATTTATTGATAAAGTTAACTTTATTAGTATTGTGGATGTAAAATTAGTGTAAAATATTTACCTGTTATCAGTTGCGAGTGTTTTCTGTCGTAAGTTGCTGTTTCTACACGGACAATCTAAATAACGCAATTCTTCCTTCGAGAGATTATTTCAACATGACAAACTCGTATTGAATAACGTTGATAAACGTGCCTGTAGGCAATTTCTAAGTAAAATATATATGACTGGTTTGTAAAGACAAGTATAGATGACGTGCTGTTAGACTTTTCAAAAGACAGGATATTTTGCTTGATTCTAGACGTAAAATATTATTTAAAAAAAAAACTTAATGGTAGTAACAGAAAATATTAAAAATAATAAGAAAAATATTCTCAATGTGATTTTTTCTCACCGATATCTGTCAACTTTTATTACTTGAGATAATCTCTTCTTGTGTTGTTCGAGGATTACCGACGACTCTTGAACCGGCTGTTAGTGGTTGTATTAAGATTATAAAATATGGACAGCAGGTAAAAAGGTGGTGGAAAACGTTTTTTCGGTGCTGAGAACACGTAAGAGCTCTCTTGTGTGTTTCCATGGCCAGAATCAGTTATAATCGTTGGGAAAGCAAATGTTACGGCTACCTCGCGCCTAAATTCTACACCGATGAGTGCTTTTTTTGACTTTCCAACCTATTTTACTTGCCAACGCTTATTTCGATTTTCCTCTTTTCTTATGTGCATGATTATAAATAACTGAAATTATCACTTAGTGTTTAACTATTATAACTGAGAACAATTTGATTACCAGTTTCTCGATCGCGTGATCTTTTGACTCTACTTTAGTCACATGGCATTTCACAGACTCCATTTTTTTCATAAAATTGTAAAATTATTGGCTTTGCTTCAAAACTTATTATTACATCTTTGCTTTCTTTATTTTCTTTACTTTTGAACAGTGTAAAATATTTTTATATTGAAACAAATGCTTTATTTTCGTCGAATTTAATGTAATTTGATTACGGAAAACGCAAAAAATAAATATATCAAATTTCAACTCGCTGTAATTTATCTCCTGTTTCACGATTGTCATCGAATTTGTTTGTAAATGGAGACGAAATATGACACTTTCAAGTGAAGTGACTAGAATTTTCGCACTACTGCGAGAAAATTTGTCAACAGACCCGGTGTCACCCCTACCGCTACAATGTAGTCAATGTTAAATGTTTGACATCCATATCGCTGTTATCGTGTTTTAGTAAGGTGGTTTATAGACCTGCTAAGTCGCATAAGGCAGGGTCGACTACTATTAGCCCTTATTTCACTGTTTTCATCTATGGAGATTCAGGAAATGAAACGTCTGAGAACACCAGGTGTATTCTGACTAGCAGTATCAATCCACTAACTCTGAAGATTAGGGTACAAATGATACGTAGAATTCGAATCGGTAGGCTGGTAATTGTAGGTAATCATACTTAAAGTAAGATAAATAATTTTTTACATAATGTATATTTTTTGCAGAAGTTTTGTAGTTATTACTTAAATGTTAAACAGCCTAAAACAATATACAATAAAAAAACTCGTTGCACTATTCGAACCAAGTTTATAATTTAATGATGGAACGACACATAAGAGATTAGGAATAATCGATATCTTCCATAATTGTTTAGAGTTATGAAAAACAAAATTTAACAATTGATAAATTTAGTTTCCAACATTTCAGCTCCGCTTTACGTAACCCGAAATAAAATCCTGCTAGTCAACACCAGAAGTTTTTAGCAAGTTAACAGTAATGGATAAGTCCGTTTTACAATTGTCTGACGCTGCATTGTGGGCCCGATAAAAGACCCTCGTAATGCACACAGACAACGAAATTATTAGATAAGTTTGAATGCGCTGATAGAATTTCCTTCATTTATGCAAGACGTGAATGTTGACAAGCTAGTAAATAATAGTTCAATATAAAGCGTAATACTGTATTTTGTTTTTATATAACTGTAAACATAAAAAATATATTTTGCTAAATATTGTAAGTAATTTGAATAAAGCCATCTTTAATTTTAAGTAAATACGACTGAAATTCAAATCACAATTATTCAATCTTAAGGAAAATTTTGCAATATTAAATAAGGAAACATTTTTTTGTAATTATCTACAAACAGTAGACGTATCTTGACGTAGTTGTAAAACATGTGGAGGCATTATGTGATCAAAATCAATTCAATTCTTTTTCAATGATAAATTTCACTTTAACATATACACCAGGAAAACGACTCTGACACTACTTATCTACGGCTATAATAAAGTAGAATTATCATTAGCAAAATTTATATTTGAATATATATTTTGAAAAAACAATTTTCGTACATTCGTAGCTGCAACTTTTATCTGTGTAATTACATGAAGGTCTCTTTCTAAACTATGTTTTACTTAATCGTAGCAGCAATAAAAACAAATTAGCTCATTAATGGTCGAATATATAAAACTAATAAAAGTTGCTTTCTCGAGTTTGCGCCTGGCCAACAGCAAAGATGGAATTTTTCGGGTTTACTTTACCCGTCTATTTCTTCGTAAATTACTTCTTTTCGGCAGATGTCCTTTGTGTTAGGTAGACTTATTCCACTGAAATTTTCAATCTCGTTTCGAACATTTATTTAATGTGAATTCTCTTGGCCCAATAACCTCTCATTCTTGCATATCTAATAAATACATATATCTTGTACAGATACAGTGGGGTATAATAGATATAATGGAAATTTCCTAATGTACTGTACGTAAGTAATCGTGAAACTCTGTTAACACAGGAGAAGTATTTTATGCACGTACTACACGTTTAAGCAAACACGTTTACAAGTATGGAGTTATAGATGTAACTTTAAAATAAATATAAATAAACACTAAATGTAACGATTAGGAATGAATAAAACAATTTTTTTAATGTATATTTTTTTATATTTACACAAATCTCATTTTCACGCAAACGCTCTGTTTTAATCTACAGATAACTTCAAAATTACAAATAATAATTATAATAGAATTTCTATATAATAAAAAGAAGTTAGCGTTTTCTTTACAGCTGGATGAATCTACTTTACCAAACAATGAGTTTTTACTTCTTGCAAATAATATTTTCGAGATCAGCCGAAAAGTCTTATCTTGAAGACGAAAAACCGAGATTCATGACATACAATTTTAATTTTTTTCTGTCTCCAATTGCTCGTAAATTAATATTATTCTTACACTTAAATTGACCGTGTTCCTTTTACTTTTCTTATGTTTGTAACTGCTCCTCCAGAATGATCGATAAGAAAAGTTTAGTTATCGCGTTTGGCTACCAAAACCAAAAACGAAACGCATGGCTCAGCATATCATTTTCACAGTTGATTAAGCGCCAACCACGTGGTTCCGATAGAAACTGAGTTTCATCGTGTTCCTTAGCTTAATCATACAACTCAGAATGCCTCCCCAGGAATGATTTTTTTCCAATTTTTTGGAAACAAAATTTAACAATTCATAAATTTAGTTTGAAAAATTTTATCTCCGCTATACAAGGACGTACCCAGTGAGAGGCAAGGAGGGATAGCTGCCCCTTCCCAAAAACAAAATTAAAGTGTAGCTATTAACACACAGACACACAGCAGGGCCCGCTCTAGGGACGAACAATTCGGACATTTGTCCGGGGCGGCAAATATAAAGGGCGGCATTTCGGTTGGGAATGTGACAAAATATTTATTAAGTTAAATACTTAATTAATCGAAATTTATATTTGTCAATATTTTTCTGTTGCTAAAATTATCATACAATTTACATTTTGTATTAATTATTTTTGCCTAAAAGCTAAGAAAATATTTGCATTCCTCAATTTTGAATAAAACAACCATAACAGAGGGCTTTTGAACAGAAAGGAAAGCATAAGCAACAATATTAAATTTTGTCCCAAACGTTAGTGTCACGTTAACAATACTGCCGATCATAGTAATAACTGTAACTAGTGAGAAAAAATGTTTCTCGAAATAAAAATTAATTTAAAAACTATTTACGTTCCACTACCACGCGAAATCATCTTAATACTTTGGCCATTATGGCCATTGCGCACGAAACTGCCGATGTACTTTTGTTTAGTTTTTATAATATATAAGTAATATCATAAAAAATGCATCTAGTTAACAATTAGTAACTAGGTACAGATATATTTTATTTTTTACTGTTTTGTACTACTTGATTATTTATCTTATATTACATGTTTCTCTCTAAATAAATTTAAGGGCGACAATTTGTCTGCGGTGTCATAAATGCTTGAGCGGGCGCTGCACACAGCACAAACGTATCAATTTAGTATCAGTTTGAATAGTGAATATTGTAACTAGGTCAAAGCCATCTGTCTTGAAATCTCGGCGGTTAAAGAAAACAGCGTACGTATATGGATTATATGGATTTTATTCTTCACGTAATGAAAACATTAATACTATGCACAGAACAAATTGAATATACTGAAAACAACTAACGCCAATATTTGCAACTTTATATTTCCACAAACAGTCTTTGCTTACTTTCGATACTATTATATAAATTGGTTTAAAATTCGATTTAAAACAAGTAAAAATTATCCTGTATACTCGACAATTCACGTCTATTTTTATGTAACTGAGTCAGAAGTAAAAGTGTAAACGGAAATGGAATTCCTATGCCACATTTCCCGTGACATTACATGTGATACGTGGCACGTGGTCATTTAAAAATGTGATAAAAATTGCTTTTGTACAAC